TAGTAGCCGGGACAACTTCTTTATGTTTACAGAAGTGACGTAATGACGCAGCGGCATGCTCGAATTTCCCGCGAAAACCTACCCGTACCACTCAAATAAGAAAACATTATTATAAGCTAACCGTTGTGAATCGGGCTAAAGTGAGTCGATAGTTTTGAACACTGGCTGGTTATGTACTTGCTCAAATATTGATTTCGGATCATTTTTAAACAAAAAAAGTTACGGACTGCAGCTTTAATAGTAAATGCTAGGTTATTTTTCTTCATCTGTGTATTGAACTTGCAGTGGATTTCTACGGGCGAGAAGCCACGCCCCCACAACAATAATATCCAATAGACGGAGTGAACGTCATTTGTGAGAAGGAATCTTATTGGATGATGCAACCCACGAGCAAGCGCCCTTCTTCTAGGTGGGAGATTTAACGTTAGACCGTCAGACTTCTACAAATCTCTTTATCAATACAGGGTTTCCGCGGGGTCTTAAAAAGTTGTACATTTAGTTGTATCAAATTTAAGGCCTTAAAAAGTTGCCGCAAGCCCACCGGACGCTCCTTCGTCGAACCCGCCCGCCGCGCCGTTCTTAAGCCCACCGGCCGCCGCTCACTCAAGCCGGCTTCTGCTCACTCTAGCCGGTCGCCGCTAACTCTAGCCCCCGGCCTCTGCTCACTCTAGGCCACCGTTTCCCAACCGGGGTGCCGTCTGTTGAGAGCAGGTGTGTTACTCACATTTTAACATTTAAAAAAAAGCATGTATGGATAATCAAGCAAACCTAAGTTCAAGTGTTCATCTTTAAATTTTGCTAACAATATACAAAGTTATTCTTACATTTGAAATAAAAAAAAAAAAAAAAAAAAAAAAGAAACCTCCTCTTACATGCAACAGCTTTTATTTCCAACTAGTTTCTTATGTAAATATTAATAAAAAAAGTTTAACAACCGAGACATAAACTTTAGTTTCACATAAATTTGATGAGCAGAAATGGAATAATGAGTCCCTGAAGAAAGGGAGGGAGGGTCAATATCAAAAGTAGCAGTCAGTATCTGTTATAGCTGCCAGCTGCTTTAAGCACCACAGAGCCACAAGTCCCCATGCCTCCCTGCAACAGGACTATGGCATGTTCAGGAAGGTACTGTAAATATAACTGTTAACTAACCTTAATTACCTACTGCCTGTAAAGTGTTAGTAGTGTCTTATGGACTGTTCCAGGTGCATGTGCAATAACTGTTTATGGTTCATTGAACAAGCATAACAGTGTTCGTCATAAGAAAAATTACAACAAACCAACATGTCTTTTTAGTAGATACTTTAATTCCAAAGCAACTTTCCCACTGGACAGTAGAGTTCACATTCAAGCAGCAACCTATAAGATTAAGTGATTTGCTCAAGTGCGCAATGGTGGCAGATCAGTCTCTGTGGGGACTCAACCAGCAACCTTATGTTTACAAACCTTGGGCTTTATCTCATGCCAAGGACCTCTTAGTGCAGTGGTTCCCAAACCTGGTCCCTGGAATACCCCTAACAGTACACATTTTGGATGTTTCTCATCTGACAAAACCATTTCAGGCCTTGAAGTCCCTACTAATCAGCTGATGAGTTGAATCAGGTGTGTTTTATTAGGGAGACATAAAAATGAACAGAGTTGGGGGTATCCAGGTCCAGGACTGGGAACCACTGTAATTAATCGATAAAGTGGTACAGCAAGGACCACCAGTTAAACATTGTATAAAATTTAGTGTGGCATGGATAGTTCACCCAAAAAAGAAAGTTGTGTCATCATTTACTCACCCTTAAGTTGTTCCATGAATTTCTCTTCTGCTGAACAAACATCTTTTGAAGAATACTGGTAGCTAAACAGCTGCCAGTAGCCATTGACTTCCAGACTAAGTCAATGGCTACCAGCAACTGTTTGCTTACCCACATTCTTCAAGATATCTTCTTTTGTGTTCAACAGAAAAAAAGAAAGAAACTCATACAGGTTTAGAACAATTTGAGGGTGAGTAAATGATGACAGAATTTTCAATTTGGGGGGAAACATCCCCCTTTAACATTGCTATAATCATGTGTGTTACTGTAGATTTTATTTAATAATATTTAACCTTTAAATCTATAAAGTTTCTCCTCAACACTAAATAGGTTCTTGTTTAACACTTAAAGAAATAAAAAAAATAGTAATAATAAAATCCCGTGTCAGGTTCAAGCAACTTAAATTAACTTTAATATGTAGTCTTTATTTCAGAGGAAGCATTGCATAAAGTTTTACTCAGTGGAAGGGAGAAGGAGCTCCAACGTCAAACAAATGAGAAATAGTCATTCAGTAGCGATTCACTCCCGCAGGAGTTCAAAAAACGCAACAGCTTGCAGGAGAGCATCACATAGCTCTTCCCCTCTGTTTCTACTGCTCATCTGAAAAGAGTTTCTGTGCTTTAACACCAAGTCATGAGGAAAAAGAACACGTGGGTCTTGCTTCATCACCGACTCAGTCATCATCTTCCTCACTCTCTCAGCTCCACTTGTCCGACAATCTCCCACTATTAGGTTGAAATGGCGGCCGACAGCTGTGCGCATCATGTTAAGGACTTTTGGGGGGCTTCCTGGTTCCCTTGCTGGAGTGAGTAAAGCAAATAGCATTGCCTCTACCGTCCGGAGATGGACCAAGACCGGATAAAGAGAAGTATTCTGGGGAGAGATACTTGGTTTCTCCACCAAAAAAAAGTCGGCTGGAGGGAAGCTTGAAATAACAGTTGAGATCTGGGGTTGACAAAAAAAAACAAAAAAAACAATTATAATTCACATTCAAATTGGTTTTTCCTGTGCAAATATACTATCAAATTAGGTGCATTAAAGTAATCTCTATACAGAAGGTAAACCAGCAACACTTGACAGGAGAGCTTAAACAGCTAAAACATTCTTCAAAATATCTTCTATGATGTTCTGCAGAATAAAGAAATGCATACATATCTGGAACAGC